TTTTTTTTTTTTTTTTTAAGGAGCTTTGAGCTAAAGAGACTATTATCGACCGTTCTTAGCTGTATTACTACAGGGAATGTATTAAACATTTGTACGCAAAGAAAAGAAAACGAGCTCAAAGCATTTCTAGTGAATTTACATATTATCATAATATGAAATCCTAAGCACGAGATATTTCCCTGTTATGGACTCAGTCGTTTACCCCAAGGAAAAACTTCTGAGAAATGAATGATAAAACCGACACTGCCCTTGGCATGCGATCTGACAAAAGCAATACATAATGTACGTAATCTTTCTTTGCTGGTCGTCCCTTTTTCTTTGCGAAACTATTTATATTTATGTACATTTACTGCCTACGAGTTTTATAAATCCTTTAAAAATCATTTTTCATTGTACGGATCTTTTATTCGCCTCGGGAATCTCAAAAACGACCGACATACTGTCATAGTTTTCTTTGTCGAAAGCATCAAAACCAGTACAGTATTTTATGAATGCTACAAGCTATTTCCGATAACTGTATATCACATTAGAAATTGCATTCACCTATCATTTTTTATCTGTACAATTGATTGTAGAAGATCTTATCATAATGTACATGAACAGCATTGAAACAATAATATATTTTTACACATTTGTATTTGCATTGTACAATGCCAGGGCAACTGACAGCCATACAACCGACGGAAAGTGTTGGTACAGAAGATGAAGAGGAGGCGGCGCTGGGTGTGGCCCGTGGCCACGAATGGCAACACTCGGCAGCATATCGATCCCCGCTCCCTCCATGCTACTATCGTCCTATACATTTTTCATCCCCAACCGCCCCATAACGGTAACCGCCAACTCCCTTACCACGTAACTCTTAACAACCACCCCCTTAGAGGCGCAGGGAATACCCCGAGTTTTGACTATTCAGTGTCATTTTGCCTGGTATGCGTAACGGACTTGCTCGTTATTGGCGAACAACTTTTGATTATTTTTTTATTTAATTATACCGATTTCCGTCTACACTAATTTTTTACACAATCTGGAAAATTATTTTAATTTTTTTCGTTCTAAGTATCTCATTATTTATTTTAACTCTATTTAAATAACCGATACGACGATTAACCCGTAATTATAGTTTTATTTTTTAATAATATGTGCCGATGACTTATAGCATGTGTGTTATCAACACGTTAACGTTGGAAAATGATAGATTCGTCTTTGCATGTCAGCAACAATGAAGAATCGGACACGGCTGATTGGTTGCCGAATTCGTTTTTGCGATTTTTTCAACAAGACCTCAGTAATATCCCAGTTAAGATATTAGGTATGTTTTCCTTTGATGAGGAACAATACAGTTATAAATTTGAACACAAAAAAGCGTGTTCTCATTAACGGGAAAATTGAATATATTTTGTGATAACTTCACAGTTGTACATACGACTGAAAGACATCACGGCATTTTTTCTTGTAAACATTTTCAATTTACTTGTCTTCAAATATTATTAGCAAATTTTCCATCTTTACTATAACATTTTATTTAGTCTATACGATGTAATACTTTTTAAGTATTTCATTATCTCCGAAAATGTTCCATTAAGTCGGTGGTAATGTTTTACAAAATATTTCCTATCATACGATTTTCTTACACAAAGTAGTCAAATAAAAAAAACTTCCCTGTTGTAACTTTTTTTTAAACCTTAAAATATTGTTTTAGAAATTTGTTTCCTTAAGAATCTCGTATTATAAAAATTGGCCTATTTAAATTAGAAAAATTGTTAAAGGTAATGATCCTGAACCATAGTCTTTGAAACTAACATAACCACTAATCTAAAGTCTGCCACTGATTATTCACAGATAAATTTTACAATGTTATAAATAATCCGATAATATAATCCAAAACTGCGTCGACCCAAAGTAGACACTCACTAAAGCTTTTTAAATATGCAGATTTTTTTTAGATTTCATATTGTTATAGTGTTTCTGATATATAATTAAAAATAGTTTCCTAAGAAGTAGTGACGTTTAATTACTATAATATAATTTTGAAACTCGAGAGTGTCAATAGAGTTTTTATATGATTTCGCGATAAAAAATAAATCAATCGATAAATGTTTTAACTAAAACTGATTTTAGTTGCATCAATAGAAATAACAAGTAATTTGTTGTTTATGGCTAGTGGTTTCTTAAGGAACCGCCATAAGTAATAGAATGCTCATATAAGTGTTCGGTAAGTAAGGAAAAGGGTTTCTATTGTTCTCAATATTTATAACAATTGACTTGTTTCTTTACTTACTGAATACTCTATACAGAGTGATTTTTTTATCATAACCCACTCAATTACTTGCAGAATAATAATAATTTAAACATTTTTTTTTATTATTATCTTTAGTTACACATTATTCTTGAATTTTTAACTATGTAATACTTTGTAAGTTAATCCCTTATGCCTTGGAGGGGGGTCAACTTTGTTTTTTTAAATGGTAACACAAATTTTTAATTTAATAAAATGTTTGAGTTTTTAATTTAATAGTAAATGGCATTTGAATTTTTAATATAACTTAATTCGTTTATTAGATATAATCATTTAAAGTTTCAAATTTTTGAATTAATATACAGGTATAATACACAAGGGATTACAAATATAGGTAGCTAATTGGTTTTTTATAACATCGATATTAGCAGGTACACAGCATTGTTATTATCAATTGTAGTAAGGCACATTGTTATGAGTTTATAAATACACTAACTGACAATACAGAAAGTATATCTATTGATAATCATAATTGATAATAAACAATCCGTGACTGAGACAGCAATGTCATAAAAATCCAATTAGCTACCTGTATTTACAATCCCATGTGTATTATACATGTATATTAACTCAAAATTTTGAAACTTTAAATGTTTATATCTAATAAGCTAATAAAGTTATATTAAAAATTCAAACGCAATTTACTATTAAATTAAAAACTCAAACATTTTATTAAATTAAAAATATGTATTACCATTTAAAAAAACAAAGTTGACCCCCCTCCAAGGCATAAGGGATGAACTTAAAAAGTATTACATAGTTAAAAATTCAAGAATACTGTGTAACTAAAGATAATAATAAAAAAAAATGTTTAAATTATTATTATTTTGCAAGTAATTGAGTGAGTTATGATAAAAAAATCACCCTGTATAGTACCAAAAGTAGAGTTTAAAAAAATATTAAGTGGCTAATTATAATTTATTATCACCTAATATTTTTAAATCACAATAAAGCCAACCCAACCAAACCCATACATAACGCACTAGCGCATATAATAGAAGAATATATCTCAAAAAAAATTTATTTTTTACACTTAAGTTTAGTTTATCCAGTTTATAGTTCTCTTTCTAAATATACAGATTCTTTCTATGAAAATTGACATCAGTTTTATTTAAATACAAAAATAAAAGTAACATACAATATAACCCTTTAGTAACTCGTTGATCTCAAAATTTCATTTTTAAAGATTTATTAATAGTCATGACTTTTTGTTACATAGTAATGCGTTAAATTTTATTTAAACAGAAATTATAATAAAAAAATGTCTATATAAACTGTTATCATTCAAAATATATCATTATTATTTGTTCTTCAAAATAGGAAATTAAATAATGTTACCTATGATATTCCTAAGTATTTAACATCAAAACAAATTTACCTTGCGTCTTTTAATCAAAACAATAAACAAAAAAAAACATCGATTAAGATTTACTATTATTACGTTAAACACTACAATATAAATAAATTTTAGTATTATAAAATATAACCGATAGTTTCATAAAAACATTTTTGATTGATTCATCTATAAAATCATCTAAATGACAGTGTTACTACAATTTAAAGTACAAAATGTCTCTACGATTACAACTAGCCCCGCGCTTTTCTCTTCTCAGGTAAAATTCATTACTATTTATTATTATAAATACAATTCCTTATATAGTTATATATTTTGATAAATCATATAATCATATTATAAATCTAGAATCAATTTTCTTGAAACTGATTTATAGACATAAGTCTAATAACATTTTTTATTTCAGCTAGCATTCCAAAGTGTGGTGGTTGTCAAGAATTAATTTTAGACAGATTTATTCTAAAAGTTTTAGAACGAACTTGGCACGCTCGTTGTTTGAAGTGCAACGAGTGCGGAGCAAATTTAGCAGATAAGTGTTTTGCAAGAAACGGAATGTTGTTTTGCAAAGACGACTTTTTTAAGTGAGTACATACCATGTCATAAATTTCTTTTAGAGGTTCATATTTAATACAAAATAACATTACGTTTTTTAATGTGGCCAAATATCTTAGATTAAACAAATAAAGTTGAAGGGCTCGGTGCAACAACTGAGTAAGTACAATTTCAGACATTTTTCAGGTGAAGCAATTTACTAAAAAGATTTTTTTAATAGCAATGGTAAAAAGCTTTTCTTAGATGAAATATCTCCTCAAATAATCTTAGTGCACTACCAGATTTTAAACAGTAGTACGCAAATAAATCAGATTTTTTTAAAACTAAAAGAAAAAAATAATTTTCTGAAAAATTTTACTTACTTGGTTGTTGCTCTGAACTCTCAATTAGTATTTAATGACATTGACTTAGTTGGCGACTATTTTTTATTTTGTTGCCAGGAGGTACGGGACAAAGTGCGCCGGGTGCGATTTAGGAATTCCGCCCACACAAATAGTTCGGAGGGCGCAAGATTTAGTGTATCACCTTCAATGTTTTGCCTGTGTAATGTGTGGTAGAACCTTAAATACTGGTGATGAGTTCTATTTAATGGAAGACAGAAAATTAGTGTGTAAGCCTGACTATGAAGCAGCTAAAACAAAAGGTAAAAACCAAATATCATAATATTTCAACGGATAATCTAAACAGTCATCTTCAGTGACTAGTTGTTTATTTTTGAATCCATAAGAGTTAGTAATGATTGAGACCCAAGAAAGTTGGATAGTACACTAAAAGATAAATTCCGAAAATTCCCATACGTTAGTACGAAATTTTTAATATACACGTTAATTTTACACACAAGTAGCATAAAGTATCGAAAATTCGTACACAAATATATCATATTATCTCTAATAACATTTTTATTTCTATTTATTAACATTTTTTCTTACGTAGTATATGTGAAAATCGAACATTTTTTTTTAAGAATGTACCACAGTTTTCTAAACAAATTCGGTGTAAAGATACGTGAAGCTAGTGAATTACCATCGATGAACTGATCCTAAATACCTAATACTTTCCACCTCTCCAATCACGTCCTCGCCTATTGTCACTGGAGTGACATTAGAGTGGATATATTAAACATAATACGTCCATTGGCGTAAAAAATCTTTAATATACAAAAAAATCAAATGTGTATCATAAGATAGTGTATGTTTTTTTAGTGATATTAAAATTTATAACTATCTTTTTGTGCGATAAATGACCATGTAATATTTATGAAAACAAATTTTATAAAACTACAACTCTTTTGCCAAAAACAAAAAAAATATTCAGTAAATAATATACTAAAAACTATTCAGTAATATAATCGCGAAACGGATATTATTTATTCTGCATTGGTTAAAAATAATTTGGATTATAGTTGAAAACCAAAAGAAAACTTACAGTTATATTTGTTTAAAGAGGGCGGATGCCTGGATGGTGACCAACCAAATAAAAGACCCAGGACTACCATTACGGCAAAGCAATTGGAGACTCTTAAAATGGCATACAACAATAGCCCAAAGCCAGCAAGGCATGTAAGAGAACAATTAAGTCAAGACACAGGATTGGATATGAGGGTAGTTCAAGTCTGGTTTCAAAACAGGTAAAATGTTTATACCAAACATAATTTTGTAACATTTTTAATATCATACACTTCGTATGACTCTCATAAACATTTATCTAAACCAATCATCTTAATCTGTAATAAATATTATGTTAAAAAATGCACAGATTAATTTATTGTATTAGTTATAAAAATTGTTTTAATTTTAAAATTTATTGTGCTATAAAAACACTTAATTATCTTGACTCGATAAAATTCTATTCTCAATTTTCAGACGAGCCAAGGAGAAAAGGCTAAAAAAAGATGCCGGCAGATCACGCTGGAGTCAATATTTTAGAACAATGAAGGGTTCAATATCTCCTCGAAATGACAAAGAAGACTTGAAAGTTGACCTTGATTCAAACTTTAGTCATTCTCATGGTATGTAGTTACTTTTTAATACCCGAAATTAATCTATTTCCTATTAAAATAAATAAATTAATTAATTAATAAAAAATGTCTCCATATATAAGTTAATAGACTACGCTTCAAATGAATTTTAGTATACTCGACATAAAATTCGTTTGAGAAATAAAAGTTTTTATAAATAAAATATTCCCTATATAAAAAAAAAGTGCAGTCTACGTATTAATATGCTTATATTTCTTAACTATAAAAAGGATAAATTATAAATACTAATTAATTTATCCCCACAATCCATTGTACATGTATACAAAGTGATCGACTTATTATGAACCACTCGATTAAAATATAATAATATAATATAGAAAGAAAATTTTTGTTTTAAATTACATATATTTCTTGATTTACTAGCTAATGATTACTTTTTAGAAATATTCCTTATGATTTAAAGAAGTATCAATCCCATTTTTTTAAATAGCAACCAACATTTTTAACTAGCTTATTTTTATAATATTTTATATTTAAAATAATAATTAATATTATTTTAAGTGATCTAATTGATTATCATAGAGTTATTTATTACTTTCGTAATATTCAAATTATTCAAATTACTTTCGTAATTGAATTTTAATACCTAAAGTATCAACAAAGTATTTTTATTTATAACAAATTTTATTATCAGTATCTTTCTTATCTTCTAAATGAAAAATAATCTAATTAAGAAAATGACAACTTTGGGACCAGCACTTTGAAAGTTATTCTTATTTTTATACCTAGGCGACACGGATAGTACAGCCGGGAAATGACTATTGAGATAAAAACAGCAGCACCCACTTCTCAGATCCAGTCTTTACTTTAAATTGTTAATAACTTCTGAAATATCGGTCCAAAAGTTATAGACCAGTCATTTTCTTAATTAGAATATTTCCTGTTTTATAATGTAGTTTAAAATGTATATTATCATTTTAAAAAAATGAAGTCCACACTCCTTAAAGTTATAAGGGTTGATTTTTAACGGTAATTATTAGATGATAAATAATAAAATAATAAATAATAAAATAATAAAACATTACATGTATAACTAAAAATAGCTAAAAGAAATAAAAAATTGTTTTTCCAATGTTGTATTTATTTTGTGAGTAAACGAGTGGTTTATTATCTGCCAGTATAGTAGATAAATTAAACAAATATTGAAGTTTTAATAATACATAAATATAAATGTATAGTTTTTTTTACATAAAATGTGTTTAATCAAACCAGATTTGGAGAGCAATGATAGTTACGGTACCAGTACTTTAACTATCGACCAAGAACATAGTTCGCCTTTACCTGGTAGTCATCATCACAAGTTTTTGCCAGGTAATTCCTCACCCTCATCGCACCAGTACATGTCATCACCCTCTCAACATGTTACCACATTTACTGCCGACAACGGTTTCATCACCGTAGGTAAGTGGATTAAAAACTATTTTAAGAACAAATCATTTAGCAGTAGTTTATTAATTTAACAAAAAAAATATTTTATGTTTTGGAACTTACCGAATAGTATTTAAATAATTTTATTTCAAAAATTAATAAGTCGATTTTATTCAATAAAAAAATGTACCACAAAAATATTAATTTAAAAATTCAATCAAAAAATTTTATCATAATTATTTTTAAAATAAATAGAAAATTTACGATTAATAATTTCATAATGACAAGTCCAAATGTGTTCTTTCCAAAACACATTATTTCAAGTTAAATCTCAATGTTAAGATAAAAAAAAGGAGTAAAACTCATGAATATCATAAATTTATTATCATAAATATAATAAAATTTCTCGGGAAAAATTTCGTGTAAAAAGTAAATTTTGTATTACATAAAATATCATTTCTTTTTCTATATTACCTGTAGTGTAAAATTTAAAAATATGCTGTAACACGTTTTAGCTCGAGGCCTATAATTATTATTAAAAAACATAATATGTCATTTAAAAATAATAGTATTTAAAAATCTTACTAATTTGATTTACTTGGTTTATATTAAACTTGTTTTAAGTCTTATTACCTTAAACATTTATCGTTTTCATTCTACTAATCTTAAACAATTTCTAATTAAAGTATATGAAAAAAGCTTATTTTATTTTAAATTTAACGTGTTAAATACTTTATATATAAGATTTCAAAAATAATATTAAAAGCTTAAGTTTACTACCCATTTCTATAACTAATACAAAAATTATACCAAATAAATTAATAAATATATTTAACCTTTTTTGAATTGTGTTAATTTCAGCATTTTTTCAGTAATAAAAAAAAATTTTAATTCCAATGGCGTCTTATGCAAATTAAAGTTTTGAAGAGTAAAATTTTACTAATATAAAATAAAATATTTTTTATCAGGTCCAACCCATTCCGCCCCTTCAGAGCTAAGTGACAACAGTAGTACTCATGGTTTTGGAGATTTTCCACCGAGTCCAGATTCATGGCTGGGAGAAACACCACACAGATACTAAAAAACTTAATCAATTTACGCCATAACAAACTATGAACTTAGTTAAAAACTTGAAAAAGTACAAACCAACATTTTATAATCATCTAAATATTTAAATTATATAAAAAAAAAACACTTTTTTTTATATTGTTATATAACATATTGTACCTACTGTTAGTTATCGTTTCAAAAAGAAACGAATATTTTACTGTACCAGAATTGTATATTCTATAACACATTTAAACATTAACAAATGGTTATTGTATATAACTTGTAATATTATGTCGTGTGAAAAGTGTATTAACCGTATTATTATTGATTTATTAAACTGTCCAATATTACATAGTTTTTAAATTTGCATATATTCGCACGACGAAAATATTTTTGGTAATCTCTTTAGCATGTATGACTTTCGCCTATAAAGTTTATGTAAATAATTTATTATAAAAGTAGTTGACCTTTTATTAACTTTTTTTAAGACTATATTTTACAAGAATTATTACTTTTGTCACTTATTTTTACACAAGATTGAACAGAACAAGATTATAACTGACTTTTTAGGGAGGGGCGAAACTGAGATAAAAGAAAAGGTCATAGACAAAATTATGTCTAGATTTAATAATATACACAATAATTTAAACATTTTTTATTTAAACAATTATTTATATACTCTAGTCCACAAATATAATAAAGCAACGACGGGTACAATATTTTATTACATATCTTTGCTTGCATCACAATTATGAAATTCAACTCGATTTTTAAAAAGCAAAACCTACCTAAAAAGGAGCGAACCACCTATCGCTCCCTCCACCTGTATAATTGCCATTGATCAGTGTCGAGTCAAGGTATTTTAAATGGGAAATTGATATTATTATTTTAGGGAAATGTCTATAAATAATACAAATTATTGATCATTTTATTGGCCTAATTTATTAAAAATTTTAATTATGTGTAAAAAATATTTTAAAAATATCATAAATCAAAAACATGAATGCTGACCGAAATTTATTTGGCGTCAATGATGATTGAGTTAAGTATTTTTAATATTGTTTATTTTTAATTATTATTTTTCAATTTTAAACTCTATAAATAGTATCTAACATGATACATTCTAAAATCTGATATATTATATATAAATAGCTCAACTTTATTTTTACCAGTGCTATTTTCAAAGGATAAGCACGAAAAAGTCGTTATAAAACTTTTTTCCTTTGCAGCCAAAAAAATACAATTTTACGGGAGTTCTTCTATCAATGCGATTAGGAGAGGTTAGTCCCTGGTTAAAAGAATTATATTTATATCACTTTCTAATATTTAAATTTTTTAGAGGGTCGTGTTAATTTATAATACCTTCTAGAGACGCCCCATAAAAACGGTATCACCCGTTGTTTACAGTCAATTTCAAAAAACCCAGCACAGGAGGGTCGCAGCACAGTTGTGACGTGGTATAGTTGGATCAAGTATAATGATATCTGACAGTGATTAAAATCACTATCAAAAATAAACGCTTCGATGCAAATCTTTAGATAGTGTTTAATTTTAAAAAAATTGGTGTTTTATTCCAAAAGCTACTTGATCTGCTGGTTCCTTA